GAGAGGGTGGTAGAAGTGGGGGGAGGCGTGGGTGCTCTTCCCGTGGTTGTTGTTTTTTGGGGGGGGGGGGGGTTAGGCTGAGTCCACTTGGTACATCTGCAACTAACTGACCTATAGTATCAGTCCCAGGTGATAGATGAGCATGGAGCGCTTGGTGGAATGAGAATTGGTTAGGGAAACCAAAGTGCTCAGAGGAAACCTGCCCTAGTGCCACTTTGTCCACCACAAATTCCACATGACTTGAGCTGGGATTGAACAGCTTGTTATTTTCTTCCATCCCGTTTTCTCTATATGTTTACCTTCTCCTGAGTCATACAGTAGCCTCAAGATCAATCTGGAGACAGTTTGGTACTGATGGGAGAGTATTAGCATGCAGTAAATGTTTCAGAAATTTAAAATGTATAATTAGTCAGTTTATGAATATTAAATATTTTATGAAGTCCAGTGTAACTGAATGAAAAATCAAGACTTGGCATTTGGGAAGGGGTCCACTCATGGGCCAGCAGAAAGAATCTTGTGGGTTATGTCTATCCCGTGGGCTGCTAGTTGAATGGCCCTGGGTCAGAATGTAAGGAACTTTACTTCCATGTCATCTAAATGCCTTCATGCTGTGGAGCTGTAGCACAAGCCAAACTTCATATTTTGCAGCCACATAAAAATGGTATATATATGTGTGCATGTGTTTATAAAAGGAGGTGCCTGGTTTCATAACGGTCAAAATGACAAAACTAGCTTGAGAGATAGAAAAATTACTTTCATGAAATTCTAATTTCATCAGAGTTTTCTGTTATGTTAAATGTGTATGGTAACTGCTGATACTGCAATTTACTGCTCCAAAAATTATTGTAGCCTAACTGTGCCTGGTTATGAACATAAGGTATTGGGTGATTTTACCAGAGAAACATTTATTTGGTGTGATGTTTAAATGCAGACATACTTTAAGGTTTTAATTTTTAAAGAAATAGGATTTTCATATTGAAACATATTTTTCATTAATAATACTCAAATTGTACATACACCATTGTTATAAACATCCACAATATTATTATCATGATTTTCTCTATGAGATTTCGGATCAGGAGCTTTTATGCTTCTTCCTTCAGCGTGTTTGAACTCTGGGTAGGGTGCTGATATACACTTGAACAGGTATATTTAAGTTAACATCACTGTTTCTTGTCTGTAGTCCGTTACTGCAATCTGGTACATGTAACACATATTTTGTATTTACTTATAAGTTAATTTAGGATGTTGAAAGTAGCTTTAAGTCATGTGGCCCCCATATTTTCACACTGTGGTCTTTTGAGTCTATTCCTTCAGGATTACTTGGCACCATCCATCAGGACATAAAAGTGATGCAGTTTTCACTCTCAGTTTTACAGTATTACTGAAATTGGCAGGTCTTATTCAGGAACCAAAAATTTATGTTAGCTTATCAGACTGTTTTGATTGCTTCAACAAAAGAATGCTGTAATGTCAATTATTTTAACTGGCGGGGGAAGTTGAGACAATGGTATAGTCATCATCTTATTTTTTTCCCTCAGAAATTTCTCTCAAGGAGTTAAATAGGCATAATGCTACCTTCACACACACACACACACACACACACACAGGTTATGTTATCAGAACATTTATGAGTGTTCAGATTGTAGTTTCACAGTTTCAGTCTCTCCAAGGGAGTTTATAAATAGGTTATGTAACCTTTCAAAACCATTCCTTCTGACTGCATGATCATTCTCCTGTCTCTTATATAACAGATGCGGGCAAACTGTGGCTGCATGCAGTTCTTTTGAATAGTTAGTGCAGCTTATAGAAAAAATGTTAATGTATTAGATATAAAATAATCCACTGTGTGGAAAATATGTATTTAAACAATTCTCCAATCCATGTCCATTTGTGGTCCCCAGTAACTATTGCCACCCCTGTTATAAAACATGCAGGCTTCTTTTAAAGCCAGAAGTATTCATTATATATCAATAGACTCTTCTTTTTACTTGCTACTCTTCCATTTCTACCCTTGTCATTTGAACACTTCTGCTGTATGCACATTCTTTAGTACTTGTCACTTTCAGCCCAATTTATTATCTTACTTAACAATTTTTATGTACCATAATTTCTGGTTAATCATTAATATTATCTAAATGTCTGTGATGATTGATTAATAATTGTATGTAGAATAATAATTAATATTTTGTGATTTTGTCATTGTAATTTCTGTCCTTTGGAGTCATATGTAAAGACAATAGAGTACAAAATGTTTCCATATTATCTGTCCATGTTTCATTACACAGTTATAAGATATGTGCACAGAGATTGGTCTTTCAGGTGACCACTGTTGGTGGTCTTTCAAATTCCTCTCCCCTCTCCGCTCCCAAGATGTTTTGTAGTTTTCAGTAGCATATGTGACAGAAGACAGGACGGCCATATTGCTGCAGCTTACAATGCAATTAAAATATGGTGTCTTCAGAATATACATAGTGTCAAGTCTGCTTTGTGATGTTTTCTTAAATTAGACTTGTCTTATGTCTATGATATATTGTACAGTGAAATAATAAAGCTGTAATAGCTGTAAATAGCTGTAATAGAGGTCACTTGCATTTCATAGGTATTGTTGTAGAGGAATCTGTTGTAAAATTTCTTTTTGGCCTTGGTTTAGATGGCGACCATTATTGCATGATGCTTATGTTAAAGATGAACATATGCACAAAGCTGTTCATTTGTCAAAAATATTTTTCGTTCGGACTAATATTTTATAAGATTTATTAACCCTTCGGTGAGGTCATGTAATACCCTAAGTGTACTGTATCCTGTAGTAATGTTTTTAAACATCTTTAATTTTTGCGTTGAAATTTTCAGATTTTCATAACTTCCCATCTCTATTGAATAAATATAAGATTTGTTCACTACAATTTTACATAATACTATTTTATAATTGTATCTTACTTGTAATGCAGTATATGCATATGGGACACTGGGAATCCTGTTAGAAGTTGAGGTTCATGTCATAATTCTGTAAGCAACCATCTTCACAATCAGGGCATCGCTGTTTGAATTTCCTCCACTTCTCTTGTGGGAATATCTCTAACCATCCCAGAGGTCTAGACTTCTTTCCATTGGCAGGAATCCTGTGGAGAAAGTGGCATTTGAGTTGCTTTTAGAGGTGGTTCGGCCATTGGGGGTCCATGTACAAGATGAGGTACTAGAGACCCATGTTTTAGTCTGAATCCTTTGATGAAGTGGATCCTAAATGTGAGAGGGTCAATCTGTTATATTACCACTAAATTATGAATAATGAAATTGAATAGCCTTTTATGTAATTTTACATGTCAATTGGAACCTTGCTGTCATTCCGGTAGGTATGACCAAAACACTTGATCTTTTAGGTCATCTTTTCCCACATGAGAGTTGCAGTTAGACACAACAGGCTTTGAGATTCCTTGCAGCTGCTTGCAGATACAGGCATCTCATCTGTGTAATGCAGAGGTCATCACAACTCTCATCATATGGTTTCAGGCTAGATATTTTAATTTTCATTTCATGCATCCTGTTGTGTTATTATATACAGTTTTTTATTAAGTCTGTCACAACACAACAATACAGTGTTCAAGGCTAAGTTAGCTTTGCTACATGTTTTGACTATTCATAGCCATCATCAGGGAAATACACGATTATCATTTTTTCACACTAGTAAACTGCAATTGCATAGCAAGTCTGGATACTTAACAATTTTCAATTATAAAACATGGTATAAAAATTACAATGAAATATAAACCGATTATAAA